AGAGACAAAAACAACTGATTTAAAGAGATGGGAAACACACTCCTGTCTGCTCTGCTTGACTCCAGTCCAGAGTTAGAGTTGAATTAAGGATCTGGAATTCCCCCTTACTTAACCTACAATGAAATCATATTACACTTAATTCCTAAACCATGAAGACTTTTCCCTGGAAAATGTGTTTTCATCCACTGCTTGACTCCTGTGCCAGTAGTCTTGTAATCACATCAGCGTGTCCACACTGGCCTGTGTGCAAAGATTTCAACACGTAGTCAAAAGATTTGTGAGCAGGGGAAAAGATGGCCTGCCAGAGATTTATCCAAGACATCACTCACACTCTGCCATTTCCGAACAGTCTTAAGCAAAAGCCTCACTGGGCAGTTATCCAAATGTTTCCTGAAGCCACATCAGGACTTACTGTAACTCTCACATCATAATTGCTCTTGCTGTAGTTCAATCGGACCGCTTTAATCATTTTGCCACTTTGAGTTGTCTGCCTTTCAAAGGGAACCTAATATAGAAATTGCTTTATCAAAACCACATTGTTCATCATAGAAGGAACAAATCAATAAAGGAGGGCAACGCCAGACTGAATGAGACACAATATTGACTTTTCTGAGAATCTAACACACAGTACTTACTCTGGCCAATCAAAAGACAAATCCCATTTAGTTACACTAAAAAAAAACTGTGATTTAATTAGGATTATGGAAATGCTGATACCCACTTACTTTTAACATTTGGAGATTTTATTGTTTCCTAATGGCTTATAACAGCTGGAAGAGACAGCTAAATGATAGCAGACTGCAGGCAAACAGAGGGGAGTGTTTGGATTTTCAGACATTTGACAACTCTCTTCCTTCACAGGCACAGAAGCTTCATGACGTCTGGGTAATTTGTGTGTTGGCTTCAAGCACATCGTCAGAACAGCTGGTGTTACAATAATGTAAATATTCTGCATGAAGAAAGAAAATATTGTATTCAACAAATGTAGTTCTTGGTAAGGTTGCTGTTTAAGTTTTCATGACTTCCATGGTTTGTCATTGAGCTGACCCAGAGATGAGGCTGAACAGTACAGCTCACTTCTGAATTCCAAAGCTCTAAACCTCAGAGGACTCGCCCCCTCCTTTAAACCTCAACTCAACTTTCACTTTCTACAACTGATTAAAACGGCATTACAAGTTGGCTCCTTCTGCCGCTTGGTGCTGAAGAAATCAGTGTTATCTCCTTCTTTGGCTGCGGTCCCTGCAGCGCTGGAGGATGCAGTTAAAATGCATAGCATCTAAGAGAGATGTCAATCAAAACTTAAACGATTCAAACAAAAATAGGACGTTTGAAAACTTTTCGGGACCAGCTTCTACTCTCTTTTCGATCTTTCTTGGCCTGCATATTTCTAATAGCAAGACAGTAATGTTTCCAACAGATAAACAGTTATACTTACAGTTAAGGCTTTAACAAGTCCTTTATTATTTTATATACCATTATTCTTAAAGGTGATGGGGGTGGGAAGAGCTAATAAAATATACAGGAGTTCAAAGAAAATTGGCTGCAGTTAAAAATGTATAGTAAAAATCCTTGGGGCGTCCTCAGGAGTCTAATCTCTCATCAAACTCAAATATTACAGATAATGAGTGATTTAAACTTAAAATTATACCACTGTCTGAACAATTGGCTTCCCACTGTTTTATTCAGCATAAAGAATAGTACAATAAGCACTTTTTAGAAATGTAAGTTCACAAAATCCAACTGTACAGCCCACACACAGAGTTTTGAATATGCAGTTGTACTATGGTGTGTGTAGGTGCACATATCTGAACTGTTACCACTGTGGCTTATAAATAAACCAACTCAAGGAACACCCACTGCCGACTTTTAAAGTTGTTCTAAATAAATGCCGATATATGCATAAAATGTAGTGTTGCTATAATCCTTTTGTGTTTTGTTTTGATATAAACCATAGTTTTGAAGAAAACAAAATGGAGAGAGGGATTTAAATGTGATTTTGACAACAGAAAACAATTGATCATCCAAATACTAGCTTTTACAGAGATTTGTAATTGCATTGCATCATTGCGTATTTAACAGTTGATGGAGTTTGTCACTGTCAAGGTAGTGATGACAAAACAGCTGTTTTCATGACAACTAAAATAATCTGCTAAAGGAGACTGAGTTGAAGTTAAGAGTTTTGGATAAATCTAGTGAGTAAATACTGGAGTTGCGTTCATCGGGTAGGCACACCTATAGTATTTTAAATAAATGTTAATGGTACAATGTGTCAACTGTATCAATATCAATAGAAATAATCTAACAAATTCTGCATAAACACATATTGTAAAGCTGAGTCAAGGAGTAAGTGCTACTTACTGTGAGTAATACATTAAATTCAGATAGTTCTTTGTTTTGTTAATTATTAGAGGGAATCAGAATAGGTTGGTGTCTCGTTGTAAAAAAAGAAAAACTCCCACAATTTTCTACCAAACCTGTTTTACAATATCTCTTTTTACCCCGCGCTCTTCCCATCTTCTGTCCGTGAACCTCAGTGGAAACGATGCACGTCCCTGTGGACCACCACGCCTGAAGATAGCACACAAACACATGCACACGCACACACCAGGAAATCTTCACTCAGCTCCATTTGATTTATTCAAGCCTCCTACTCGTTCTCTGCAAAAGATAAGTACAGCGAATAGGGGCTGTAGTTGGACTTTTCTCCCCATTCCGATGCACACACACATCCACATACACACACGAAAGCACTGTAACTATTAACATTTGACCTTGTCCCAGAGCATTTTCGAACACAATTTAAAAAAAAACAGAAGATCAGTGTAGGCCATTGACCATCTGGTCGTATTTCACAAGGTACTATGTGGCAGGTTTAAGAATGTTAGATCTAGCCACCAGAACTACTACAGAGAGCTGTCACTATGATAAAGTAGGACTAGGCTAGTGCAAATATAAACTATTCCTAAAAACACATTACACACACATGCACATAGTTAGCCATGTAAAATGAAAATGTTGCTTGCCTTCAGTCCTGTAGGAGTCTGGATGAGCACCTTCAGAGCCATATCGACACGAGCCAGCCATATCTTCTTGCTTCAGGGGCCATCGGCAACTTCTTTATTCTGATCGACAAGAAGCTCATCCCCTGTGAGGCTACCACTTCCTTAGCAGCAATTGATGAACTTTTTAAGCTTCACTTTGTCTTAGGCACTAGCTATGATCCAGCACTCAAAAGCATGTACACATTTCTGCAAGCAACTGTCTATAACATAGATTTTTTGTTTTTTACTGAAGCACTGGGTGTGAGTGTGTGTGTGGTCCAAACAACCTTTTTGGACCTCAACTGCCACAGAGGGTTATTTATATACATTTTTGCTGTTGAACAATATTGAATGTTGGTTGAATTGAATATTGGGAGAATTTGTCAGTCTTAAGAGACATGCCACCATTCAAATAAAGCACTTGTCATATGCTGATATCTGGAATTATGTATTGGTCATTGTAACTTTTAACACCAGTTTGTTGTACATCATAATACCAATACACGACATTTGACACTAGATTAGTGTTCATTTTGAACTCCCAGAGGGTTGAGGCTAATGCAAAATGCAACACCAGTATAATGTGCATTCAACACTATTAGTGTACATGTTTAACTCTCAAAGGTGTTAGATGGAAGAAGATGTATCACTACTGTAGTGTTACTCTACACCAGGACAGTGTACGATTGCAACACTATTAGTGTACATGTTTAACTCTTAAAGGTGTTAGATGAGAGAAGATGTATCACTACTGTAGTTTTATTCTACACCAGGACAATGTAAAATTTAAGCTGCAGCGAACACTGTTAGTGTTGGTGTTCAGTGTTGGTGTTCACATCTTACACTCTTAGTGTTGGTATAGTAACACTATGATAGTGTTATATTTTCAACACTTTGGAAAGTGTTAATTTAACACTTTGCTGGTGGTTTCAATATAAACTCTTTCATAGTGTTAAAATTAACTACCTGGGTGTTGAATTTTAGATTTTAAATTTGCTGTGGATGGGGCCAAAATCGGGGATAAGTTCCTTATGCCGTATTTCCTAGAGTATTGATAAAAACTGTCAAAATCTTTGGCTGCATGCCAGGCTTTGTTGAAAAGAAAAATATCCCCGAACCAAAGAAGGGAAAATTCATATGCATCAGTCGTCACAAACAAATACATGGGGGGACGCCAAATATTAAATGAATGTGTGTTGTGCATGTTTGGAAGCATGTGCAATGGTATGTGAAACTAACACCAGCACCTCGGTGACAGGTTGACATTGGCCAGGTTTTGACAGCAGTGAGAAAATCCCATTTAATTGAAGGATGCTTGTCAGTCCTCTAACTGCAGAGTGATATCAGAGGGAAAATTGTCTACCAGCCATTCTCAGTCTGCTCTCATCCTGTCTCCTACACAGCACACTCACAGCCTGCAGACAGAGGCCTCTTCTTCAACCAGTGTATTGTGGATTAAAGTAGTGAAGGCACAACACACTCTTGACAGATAATGACACTGACCTGGCAGTGGGTTGGAAGTGTTCCTTTCCCAGTCCTCTGCTGCACACATCATGGCTATACTTATAGCTATAGTACCACACAGATGAGTTTTAGTCTGACTGGCTTCTCTCAGCTCAGCGGGTGATAAGTCACTCATGCTCACACCTACTACACATGAAGTCAATTAAGTGTAAGAGAAGAGTGTAAGAGAAGCCAACTCTAATTACACTATTAGTGCACTGAATTATCAAAACTGTGGCTGCCTGACTCTGACTTTCCCCATTTATCTCTGTGTAAATAATATATGCGCATACATGCCCCCCTAAAGATGCGTTTCAATAAATGTGCCAGGTCTTCTTCATATACGCACATATTGTTGCCAAGCTGAAATGAAAATATGAATGAATACCAACTTTATTTCACCAGGAAAAAGCTTCACGAAATCACATAAATTAGAATGTGTAGAGAATAATCAAACTTTACTAAAGATAATCTAATGAAGTAGGAATTAGGAAATAACAGCAACACATAAACCATTCATAATCATAGAAATAAAGTACAAACAAAGTATGAATATGTCCTGTACATGATCATTATTATCCTACATTCCAATAAATAGTATTTTCTTTCACTATGTTCTACATTTAAATCGAGATTATAGAGAAATAAAGAAAGAGAGGACACTGTGTGATCGTATTATGTAAGTGAAGGTTGAAGAATCAGTATAAGCACTTTCTGCTCTTCAATTACTTAAGCTTTGACTTCTCCATCCTTAAAAGGTTGTTACATTTAAATGCCATGTTCAAATCTATGCTGCCCTCAAGTGGCCAAACCATACAATTGTTGCAGGTTTGAGAGCAACACATTAAAAAAGACAAAGCATATGTGCTGCTGGAGGAGGATTTGAGTAGTATTTATTTTCTATAAATAATTATTTATTTGTTTTATTCTATTATTTGAAGGTAAATTGCTAACAATGCAGCATATTTAATGAACTCATCATATCTTTTAAACAAAAACATATGAAAATAATAAATGTATTTCCAAGAGTGTATAGATACATAATTTAAAATGTGAGTGTGTGTTATCTCATGAGGTCCCTGGTCATTCGGAAATTAAGATCCCTCGTCTTGCACTTGTTGTCCAGGAGATGGCAGCATAGAGTGATTTCCACTGGGCCCTTTAAGCACATGATCTACCACAAACCCATCACTGGTGTCAGGTTTTACCAAATTAATGTAAACGGGTGTGCAAAATGTCCTACAATTTATTCACATATGAAGTGTTTTAACTTTCTAATGCACAAGCCAGACACAGATGTATGCGTTAGTTTTTTAAAATTAAGTTACACTGATAACGTTGTATGAATGGCAACAGAGCTGTGCAAGCCTTTGAGAGGAAGACACAAAGCTGTGTTTGGATGAATGCAATGCCACAGTAAGAGATGTTGGACAGTACACAGATGAAGAAAATCATACTGTATGAGCTGTCAAATACACAACGACCAACAATCAACACATGGTGCAGTCCTGGCAGTCTTTAAAACTCACAGATATGGCATTTTGTTTTGATGTCCTGTATAAGGTCCATGACAACATAAAACAGTCAACACCATACTCGAAATATCATGAAGACATTTGATTTTTCTTTAAATGGTGTTGCAATTTGTTATTGAACATGACCAAACCTGTGACAAACAGGTGACCCCTTTTCTCCTTAGTTTGTAGAACATGATCATCACAATAATTCTGGGCAATAATTCTGGACAAGAACATGACAATAATTCTGGGCGGTAAAAGTTCAGCTTTTAAAGATTTGCCCGACAGTTTGATCAGCTGCAGTCAGTCTTGGCTTCTCTCATAGATGTGGGTTATAATAAGTGGGCTGGACGAAACCACTGGTCATGAAGGAATGCAAGAGCCCTCCAGTGGATGAAAGTGGAACACCGCCGGCCGTGTGGAAGATCACATTCCCAGCGCTGAAGTTGGGGAAAGTTTGGTGGAAACTGGCGGCGCCTGCTCCACAGGGGGTCAGGTTTGGACTGAGGTTGACCAGGGAGTTGGAGCCGGGCTGTAAGGTGCTGCTGTCCGCCCCGGGGTTCTGCTTTTTCCATTTGGTCCTCCTGTTCTGAAACCAGATTTTCACCTGGGTTTCGGTCAGACTCAGAGATAGAGCCAGGTTTAGTCTCTCGCACACAGACAGGTACCGGGTTGTGCGGAACTTGTTCTCCAAAGCCACCAGCTGCTCGTATGTGAATGCTGTTCTGGCTCGCCGTGGTTTGGCGCAGGGCTGGTCCGTTCGCTGCCGCTTGTGTGGGGAGGGGTCCTGCTGGGCGGCCCCTGACTCCCCATCGTCCTGTTTCCCGGGGAGACAGGACTCTGATTCAGCCGGAGGGGAGAGCAGAAGAGAGTTATCAACACCACCATGACGCCTTGGGGAAGCAGAGTCTATCTCTTCCTCTGTAAAAAAAATAAAAATAAAAAAGATAAAAAGTTAGCACATATCATTCAAAACGCAGCAAATGAAGCATCTAATGGATAACACAGCATATCTATATTCAAGTGATATAATACTGGTTTATTTTCTTGTAAACTGTTCAAGAGTGAAAGTGTAGAAAATCTTCAATTTGTGTTACATTTTCAAAAATCTCTTTCAGGTACAAAATACATACAATGCTTTCATTAAAACAACAGTTTTGGACCTGGTTGTTTAAAATGTACCTGATTGAGTTGACAGAATTGTTGAGGTGATTAAACCATACAGTTTACTTTCTGCACAAAAGTCCAATACAAACCAAATAAAGTTAACTATTTTATGTGTTTTTAAAGTGTTATCCTAATCCTGGTCAAATTGTACTAAATTGGCTGCAGTACTGAAAGGACAGCTCCTGACAAGACAGAAAGTCACGTGCCAAATCTCAAAACTGATGCCTAACGCGTGCTTAACAAAAGTATCCTCATGGTGCAAAAATGTCCCTCTTTGTCCCGTCTGAAGCGCAGTTGAAATAGCCCACACAGAAGACCTGAAGTTTACATCTGTAAAGCGTTTGATTTGTATCCTGAAGTCTGTGGTGCGGAACGGGGCATAGAATCACAGGAGAGGGGGAGACTTGGTCACTAATCCTTTAATAATTTATAAACCACACAGCGCCTCAAATGTCATGTTGCGGAAAGAAATCCCGTCTAAATCCAGCTCCGCCACCTCAGCCGTGACGTGCTAATGGAGTTTCATATTTGCGGGTGGATCGATAAATGTCATCTATTTAAAGGGAAGTTTTAATCGAACGATATTTAGGATCAGACATGGATGGGGTGTGAAGTTTGTACCTGCAAGCTGCTGGAGGGAGATATGCAGGATGCAGTAATGGGATATCGATCAAAGCGCGCAGAGGCATCCTCAATGGGACGATTTAAACAATTATCTAGCCTGCCTGTCCCAGTGCCAATCACACGCGGGGGCTCTGGGAGCGAGCCTTTGTGGCTTCCTTGAAAGGAAACGCAGCCTTGGAAATTAAGGGAAGGTCATACAGAGATGACAATAAATCTGATAGAAAATAGCGTCTCATTTGATGGTGTTTAGTTTAGACATAGAGCAGAAAAAGTTTATTGTAAGTATATTTTTAGCGCATATTGTATGGTTTCGAGGACGACTTTCGGTAGGTTTTGAAATAAATGTCATACGCAATAAATAAAAAACAGATATAAATATGACAAGAAAACGTTTGAAATACAGAAATAATATTTTTTAATGTTTTTTCTCTACCTGCGTGTGTGCGCTCAACTCTGAAGTCTCCGCCTGCATCGCTGTCCGACTCCAAACTTGTTCCCTCTTCATGTGGCACAGGAAACTCCTTTACGATGGAAAGTTCGTTTCCTCTTTTGCTGTTGAATTTGTTTGGATCCAATATATCAACAATAGAAAAAGAACTCTTATGACTGGACGTCATTGTCACTCCACAGTCCTTGGGGTCCAGCATCCTTTAGATAGAAACAGCTTTAAAGGAAGGAAAGGACTGACATGCGTAATTACGCGTGTGGAGAGGAACTTCTCATACTTTATCCTCCTTCTCGTCGCCAAGCTTCATCAAACTGGATTAATGCCGATGATTCCTCACAGTGTGTACCTTGCTCCTCTACTCCTGTCTGTCAGTCTTCAGCGTCAATGAGATGACCGGAGCTCGGTGCCTCGGTCTTTAAAGCGTATGTCCCCCCCCGTCTCTCACCCATACACGTGACACAAACACTATTAGTGTTTCACACGACCGCCTAATGGGCTCAAAGCATTCGTCGATAATCACCCATATCATTAAATTCAATAATCCGCGATCTGAAAGTAAATTGGGCACAGATGGCACTTGATCCATATCAGAGATCGTCCTTTCTCCCTAAATTGGACTCTTTTAGAGACGTTACTGTCAGAGGAGATTTCGTGTCCCTAGGGAAAGAATATCCTAATCGAAACCAAACGGTTTAAGCAAATAAACCCAGAGAGCCTCGACTCCAATCGGTACAAATAAAAACTTATAATGATAAAATGTAAAACACATTGATATCCTGCACTATTTATACTTTAACATTGTTCTTATTAGATCCATAAAGCACATACATCAGTAATTATGCAATTGTGGAAAATAAAGACCACTTTGATATCTACTTATAATAGTTTTTAATATACAATTCAGGATACAATAAATTATTATTCTTTCCAGCATGCATCATGAAGATATTGTATTTCATTAACAACATAGGAGGCTATGACAGCTTAAATTGACTTATAATTGGATATAATGATTATACTGACTGTTATAGCGTTTAGAATGTGGCTCATTTGGGTTTCTTCTTGTTATTAATTGAATACCGTTTTTATTTTTTTCCTGGTCCGGACACACTGATGACATTCCCAGTACTGCATTTCCTGTATTATTTCACTATCACCACACTGCAGCAAGTTTCAAACGTTTCAAAAACTGAAAATAACGAAAATAGTTTATGCTTCATTTGCTTGCATTATTGCCAATCTTCACATTGATGTGTTTTTTAAATACAACTAAATAAGGATGTGTTTTTTTTAACAGACTAAAAGCATCCACAATGAATCAGATGCTTCTTTAAAGCATACAAAGCTAAACTGTGGCCGTACAATAAATACGGCTGATTGTTTTCTCACCTAAGGTGATAGATTGATATTCACAATCAGTCGGCCCCCTACTCTTTGCTATTAGTATTCAATAACGTGACATAGGGTTGTTTAAAGCTTGATGCCTGATGGCTAAAATGGTGAAACCAGCACAGGATCAATATTCTCAGCAGGTGTCCAATACAGATAAAGCCTGATGGCTCCAGACAGGCTTTTTGGAAACTGAACGAGTAACTGCAACAGCACAGAAGCGTCCTTTAACTGCTCAGCCCTACAACAACCTACTACTTAGTGAATCTTTTCCTATAATTTAATATTAGTACGTTGTAGGGATTAGAATAGGCTTCAACTGGTGGTAAAAAAATACAATTTTCCATCTGTTTTAACATGTAACTGTCAACATGTTAACATATTTTGCTATCGAAGCCTGTGAGGTCCACATTGTGGGGATGAGACAGATGCTGTTTCTCTGTCTGTAATTCTGTCTGGTGTCGGTGACATGGGGGATCCGATCATGTTTACACACACTCTCAAATTCCTCCCTACACAATTTCCTGTGTCACTTATACAGTTCAGGGTGATTACTCTGCTGCATGGAGGTTTCATTGCTACCCAGTCATAGTCTGGTGCACCGGCTTGCTCTGCAGTAGTTACATAGTCAAACATTTGTTAAAGCCGCCCCTACAGGGTGTCTGCATTTGCATGTGTATGGCACTTGCACGGCCATTACTGTAGTCCCTCCATATGAATGGAGCCCGCTGCACACTGGAGGTTTACAACTTCCTACGAGAAAGCCCAGTGGCTGGACATCTGTTTGTGTGGGTCGGCGGGACAAAGGGACGAGCCCCGAGGACAAAGAGGCCCTCAGGTAGACTTCAGAGAGCGGGAACAGCATCTGAGTCTGTACGGGCCGGAGCAAAACTTCAGAGGAGGAGAGGTCCACCGCAGGGAGCCCAAGAGACACACTTCCATCCAAGACCCCCCTCAAGGGTCAATAAAGTCATCACCTCATGGATAGGCTGCCCCCAGTCTGCTAAACGTCAGATAATTTGTCTAAGCTGAGGCTCCACTCACAGACTGTAGTGTCTTTTGTTTTCCCTAAAGTCCTCCAGCGTCTCCCTGACTTTCCTGTAAAGTGGGACTCAAACAAAAGACCAGCAAGTGTCCGGTGAATCATTAGGTGAGGCCGTTAGATCCTTCCAGCCAAATTCCTTTACGTTGTAGTTGTTGTGTTTTGTGTTCATTTCCGAAGAACGTACTAATGGCTTTGCTTGTCTTGTCACACAAGGCTACATTTAGGCAGTTCTAAAAACGTACCAAACTAGATAGATGTTCTATCTTCCTGTCTGTTTCCATTTATTTCAGTATGCTATGAGTATCAACTTGCAGAAACCTTGTTTTTCCTGTATTCATTTTTGTATTCTTAATCCAGATCCTTTCGAGAGAATCCGCGTTTGGTTAAGATATATAATCAGAGGTTAAAGGTGGGGTATGTAATTTATTTCAGAAACACTTTTTGTTATATTCCATGGAATGCTCTTAACATCCCGATAGCAATGAATATATTAAATGCTTTGACAATAAATACATTAAAAAAATTCATCTGTGGAAGCTGTAGTGCTGTAAAAAGCACGACCAATCATTTTAGCCGGCCCGGCTAAAATAACTGGATGGCCTACCTGCCTGTCAGCCTTCCATCTGTGCACAAACTTATCTCGTGACCTCATTGGTCATGTGTGCATTCGTGTGTGTTGGAGGAGGGGCTCTGTAAGGATGTCTGAAGGAAGAGGCAGATTTTTTCCAGTTGTGTACTTTCAAATTCTAGCACACTCAAGCTGGTTTCTCCAAAATTACAAACCCCACCTTTAATGACATTTCTGGCAGCTAATTTGCTCATCTTAGATGCAGCTCATGCACCTGATCAATGTTCTTTGGACAAAAGATAAAGACTATACTAAAAGATAATAACTGATTTCAAATCATGCTATCCTTTAGTTTTATTTTCATACTTTGCTGACATGAAATCAAGCTCAGTCTATCTATGCCATTATTTGCTTTGTCTAACATGCACCACTACCTTTAAGCTACTTCCTATGTTTCTACTTTATCAGCACTCAGAGACAGTCAGCATTTAACTGTCAGTAATCTTCCATCTTGCAATGGAATCTTGCAATCTTCCTTAACAGGCATGAAGTTTTCACACATTTTGCCCAGTTTCCCGTCTGCACTGCATGCCTACAGTTGTGCTACCAGGCCTCCTTTCAGTGGGACCTGTGTTGGTTTGACTCTCTCCAACAACAAGGTCAGTGGCATTGCCCAGTAATTGTCCTAACGGCCTGTATACCTGTTGGGTGGAGGCGAGTAATGAGAGTTTTTCATTATGGGCGGGACGGGTGAGTGCGCCTGGCAGATGCTGACAGGCAGCAGATGTGTAAAGTTGGGGGTGATTTGTAAAGGGGTCAACTGCATCGCAGAGGAGATGGAGGGCGATGTGGGGCGGGGGTAAATTATGCTGAGGGACACTGTCAGTCATACTGCGCCCCTGTCACAACAAGGTAAAGGTCAGTTCAAACGCTGATGTAGTTAACTAACAACCAGCACTGTACTGTGGTCATGACGGCAAAGGGAGCAAACTTTCAAACATGTACTGACCAGAAATGTTTAGTTCAGAGTTTACTGCATTTTCTTCAATACATTTATAAGTGAAAATCCTCCGTATAGCAGGAAAAAATATCTGTATTTGCTTGCAATGTTCAGTTGTTTTTAAATTCTTAAAACTGCATGGGATCTGTTTGTATTCCATCTCAGAAAAACACAAATGTTCCCCTACAACATTATTTGTTTCCTTTCTAAAACAAACAACTAAAATGTTAATTAAACATTAGTATTGATGCACTTCTTGCCGAACCCTACCATGATAAAAGCAATGATTGAAAAACTAATATTTTTCTCCCGAAACTAAAAGACGAGACTCCGTTTACAATACTGCTAATTCTTTATATTGAAACGTTTTCCACATAGACCTTTAAGCATAATTCAAACCAATACAACAAATGTTTAAAGTGCAACTTTCTGAGAAAATGTTTTCAATTCCAGTGAACACACTCAATGTAGCATATACCATGATGGCAGTTGTTGTCAGATATGTTTAATAACCGTACCCAATACAAAATTAAGAATCACAGATATACGATCCTATGATTAGCCCATAGGGGACCGTTACCAATACCGAATATCAAATATGCACATACGTACCTAAAATTAAATGCAGCTAAAGTCATGAAAGTAGAAACAGAGGAAAACTGTGCAGTAAACTTTCATGGCCTAATCCACTGGCTATATTTTTGACTGGCCTGTCCTCTTTCACACAAGAAATGCAAAGCAGCCACAGGGAGGTCAGCGTAAAGGAGAGCGTAGATACCGTGAGGGACGAAGAGAAGACAGGAAGAGCTGCAGACGCATGTTTTCAGCGGGCTGATGCCTGCTAGTAATGGCTCTGTGGTCCCTGGCATCTGCACAGAGTGCACTGTCACTCAACGGGAGCATTGATTAGCCATTGTTCTGAGAAGGTCACATCATAATTCATTAACAATAATTAGTCCCACAGTGCCACCTGCACTCCTTCTCTCGATTGCCCTGTTAAATTACGAGCAACCATCATGGTTCACGCGTGGAACAATGAAGATATATCCGCAACGCAAAGGCACGAGCTATTAGTTACATTATTTAAATGGACCCGTTTAAACCTGGGGAGCTGTCTTTATGAAGGGCAATTAGGCACTAACCATAATTGATAATTCGTGCTAATTACAATTAGGAAATATAAATAGTGGGTGTAGGATTAATCATCGTTGCGGTTAAGCGGGGAGCAGGCTGGGTAGGTGATGGAAGGCAATGGATTATGCCCCATTCATCTCCATCTAGTGCAGAAACAGATTGTGTTTGTCCCTTTATATTTCTCCATTGACCATTATATCTTTTTTGTTTCTGTGCCCTTGCCAAATGGCCATTCG